ACTCTACCCAGGGGGACAGCTTGAGGCTCTGTCTCCAAAAAAAAAAAAAAAGTATTTTTCTTAATACTCTTAGTTCTTCACTGTAGAAGTGTTATGTTGTATTTTAACTTTCTTTGTTTAAGGCACTTGGCACTTAATTGTCTATAAAGTAACATTAGAAATTAGAGCTTTTTTTTTTTTTGGAGACAGACTCTCATTTTGTCACCCTCGGTACAGTGTTGTTGTTGTGTCATAGCTCATAGGAACCTCAGACTCTTGGACTTAAGAGATCCTTTTGCCTCCTGAGTAACTGGGACTGCAGGCACTCTCCACAATGTGTGGCTAACTTTTCTATTTTTAGTACAAAGTCTCTCTCTTGCTTAGACCTCCCAAAATGCTAGGATTACAGGTATGCACCACTGTGCCCAGCCTAATAAGAGCTTTTTATATGAGGAAGGAATGTTTTAGATTGAATGCTTAACCTTTACAGACAAAGAAAATACTATTTATATACTTTAGATTTAATCAAATGTTAATGTAATTTAAGTTTTGAGCCTTTAAGTATTAATGAAACTCAAAGTTAGAATTTTATTTTATTTTTTCAAAGTTAGAATTTTTAAGGCCATAGTCATGTACATATTATTTAGGCTGGAGTGCCATGGCACCAGCCTAACTTATAGCACCCTCAAACTCCTGGGTTCAAGTGATCCTTCTGCCTCAGTTTCACTAATAGCTGGAACTATAGGTGCCTGCCACAGCACCCACGTATTTTTCTATTTTTAGTAGAGACAGGGTCTTTCTCTTGATGAGGCTGTTCTTGAACTCCTCAGCGCAAACAATCCTTCTACCTTGGCCTCCTAGAATAGTAGGGTTACAGGTGTGAGCCACTTCTCTTAGTTTGGAGTTTTTTGGTTTTATTGGAATTTTCATTGCAATAGCTCAGCCCTTAACCTCAGTACGTGACTTTGAATTCACTAATTTAATATGTATTAACTTTCTATGCAGTATTTGCTTACCAACAACTTCAGTTGGTCAGGATGCCATGTGTTTATTTGATTCTGGAAAAGATGGTTCTGAAAACCTTCCTGCTAATTTGGACATTACGTGCAGAAAGAGATTTCACTGCAGGCTTGACAAAAGTGATGTTCCTCCTGCCAAAAAAACTTCACCTATTTCAAGAGATGATTGTCAAGAATATACCTCTGAGGTAAGATAGAATCTTGAAGTCAGTAAGATGGCCATATACAGATCTTTTCCTGTTTGTTCCTTTAGACTCTTCAAACTTGCAGGTGTATATAAAGATATATCTGTAGTTCTGACACATTTCATCATAAACAATCTGGTAAAACAAGTGTTGGATTATCAATTTCAACTTGATGGACGCTCATGGAAATTGATGGACATTAATCAGGAAACCACTCCCAGCTCTGTGGCAATAACTAAAAATAAGGCCCAAAACATAGAGATCTGCATTTTTTCGGTACCATCTCTTAGCTGCAGGACTGTAGGCCTCTCTGAACAGGTTTCCTGCTGTTTAAATGATAATTGTAGTATTATCATCACAATGCTTAAAGCTTCCTGTTGCTCTTAGGAATAAAAGCAGAGCCAGTAAAACCCAGTATGGTCGGTTCCATTTCTGTGTCTCATCTTACTTTGTGCTAGTCTCTGCCTCACTTTCTAGCCACGTTGGCCATCTCTCATTTTCTTGAATGCACTATAATTCTCCATGTCCTACGCATTTCATTTGCTGCCCCTTCTGTGTGAAACATTCCCTTGCAAAACATACAAAATTCCTTAGCTGAAATGTTACTACCTCAGAGAGTTCTGGCCAGACTATGAAAAAATGATTACCAGCCACTGTGTTGTAGGCTTTCTAGTACTCTCTTGTTTTGGTTTCTGGTACTTATCATAATTTGTAACTACACTATGGAAAAGTCAGTTCAAAATCTATAGGTTCTCCCAGGAAAAGTATTTGTTGGGTGATAGCAGATGCAGAGCAAGTGTACTTTCATATATTCGATAGGTAAAAAATAGTATATCCCGGACAGCGCCTGTGGCTCAAAAGGGTAGGGTGCCAGCCCTATATGCTGGAGGTGGCAGGTTTAAACCCAGCCCCGACCCCACCCCAAAAAAGTTAAATAGTATATCCCCAAGTAGTTTTAATTTCTCATGTTATGGGTAATATTAAATATATTTTCATATGTTTAAGAGCCATGTGTATTTCCTTTTCTGTGAAGTGAGTTTTTATATTTTTTACCCATTTTTCATTTGGGTTGATCTTTTCCTATAGAACTAGAAAACCCCAGTTATGTATATGTTTGTGATAATGAGCTGCAGGTATTTTTTTCCTAGTTTGTCATTTGTCTTTTGAGTCTGTTTTTTTTGGTTGTTATTACTGTTTTCTCATGGAGATTTTAAAAATACTAACTTTTTAAGATGAAAGATTTCAAACATAGAAACCTATTAAAGTTGGTAGACCAATAATTTATCAGCATTCCATCTATAGATCATTCTGTTTTGTTTTTAAAGTATGTTGAGGCTCAAGTGGCTAAGGCACCAGCCACGTACACCTAAGGTGGTGGGTTCGAATCCAGCCCGGGCCCACCAAACAACAATGACGGCTGCAACCAAAAAATAGCCAGGCGTTGTGACGGGCGTCTGTGGTCCCAGCTACTTGGGAGGCGGAGACAGGAGACTCGCTTGAGCCCAGGAGTTGGAGGTTGCTGTGAGCTTTGATGCAACAACACTCTACCCAGGGGCTTGAGGCTCTGTCTCGAAAAAAAAAAAAAGTATGTTGAAGCCAGGTATGTCTGCTGTCTCTGGATGGACTTGGGAGGCTGAAGCAGGAGGATCTTTTAGTCCAGGAATTCGACTTTAAGTATGCTATAAATGCACCTATGAATACCTACTTCATCTCAGCCTGGATGACATAATGAAGCCTAATTTTATTTTCAAAACACAGTATGCTTAATGACATGAACACAAGACCATAGTGCTTCACAAAACTAGGTCACCAGCTTATAATATACCATTTTAAAAATGACATTTGTACAGTGGTGTGAATATGTAATAATGTCCATTTGTCTTATTTGCACTTTTTATTTTCTAAATGTTTTTAGCATTTACATTTAGCATTTAGCATTTTAACAATAAAAATTTTGCTTGTGCAGATTGAGTATGCTTTTTTCAAAAAGCTTGGGACCAGAAATGCTTCAGATTTTTCAGACTTTGGACTATTTGCATTATACCTACTTGTTCAGCATCCCAAATCCAAAAATCCCGAATCTGAAATGTTCCAATGAGCATTTTCTTTGAGTGTCATGTTGGCACTCAGAAAGTTTTGGATTTTGGAGCATTTTAGGATTTAAATTTTTTGGATTAGTATCCTCAACCTGTACAAAATTCTAGAATGTATACATGGCTGTGTTCAAATAAATTTGCAAACTTTTTTTATCTTTCTGTTTATCAATTCTTTTATGTGTGACTTCTGGATTTTATGTTATACTTTGAAAGTCCTTTGAAATGAAAATTTCTACCTAATATGATTTTCTAGCTAATGTTGTTGATTTTTTTTTTTTTTGAGACAGAGCCTAAAGCTGTCGCCCTGGGCAGAGTGCTATGGCATCATAGCTCACAGCAACCTCCAACTCCTGGGCTCAAGCAAGTCTCCTGCTTCTGCCTCCTAAGTAGCTGGGACTACAGGCACCCGCCACAATGCCTGGCTATTTTTTTTTGATTGCAGCCATCAATGTTGTTTGGTGGGCCCGGGCTGGATTCCAACCCGCCAGCTCACGTGTATGTGGCTGGCACCTTAGCCGCTTGAGCCACAGGCGCTGAGCCTATTGATTTGTTTAAAATGCATTTTGGTGGCTTGGCACCCATAGCTCAGTGGTTAGGGCACCAACCACATACACTGGAGCTGGAGAATTTGAACCCAGCCTGGGCCTGCTAAACAACAGTGACACTACAACCAAAAAATAGCTGGGCATTGTGGTGGGCGCCTGTAGTCCCAGCTACTTGGGAGGCTGAGACAAGACAGTCGCTTAAGCCCAAGAATTTGAGGTTGCTGTGAGCTATGACGCCATGGCACTCTACCAAGGGTGACATAGTGAGACTGTGTCTCAAAAAACAAACACAGAAACAAACAAAAAAATAGCTGGGGATTGTGGTGGGCACTTATAGCTCCAGCTATGAGGGAGGCTGAGGCAAGAGAATCACTTGAGCCCGAGTTTGAAGTTGGTCTGAGCTGACGCCAAGCCACTCTACTGAGGGCGACAGTGAGACTCTGTCTAAAAAAAAAGAATATATTTTTGGTAGGAATAGGGGCAACATATTTTCCCTAGATGCCTGTAACCATTTACTTTGAATGATTTTTTTTTTTTTAAATCTTTTTCCACTGATAGGAAAGTCTGCTATTTTTATTTATTTATTTATTTATTTATTTATTTTTGGAAACAGAGTCTCACTGTGTCACCCTTGGTAGGGTGCTGTGTCATTACAGCTCACAGCAACCTCAAACTCTTGGGCTTAAGCAATTCTCTTGCCTCAACTTTGTAAGTGGCTAGGACTACAGGCCCCTGCCATAATGCCTAGCTAGGAATTCTGCTATTATCAGATACAAAATCTTCATGTGTGTTTGATATATTCCTGAACTTCTTTTTCTTTTACATTGATTCCCTTATTTGTTCTGGGGCCATTATCACACCGTTTTAATTATTGTAGCTTTATAACGTGCTTTAGTATCTTACAGGGATAATCCTTCTCCAAACTTTTTATATTTTCTTCATTTTTCAAGTTTCTCCTCATTGTTTATATGTTCTCAGACTTATATGAATTTTGGAATTAACATGTTTAGGTCTCTAAAAATGAATTCTACTGGTATTTGTATTAGAATTGACAGAGTATTTTAGGAAAAATTGACACACTAATTATAATATTGACTCTTCTCATTCAAAAACATAGTATGTCTTTCTGTTTGTTTAAGACTTGTTTTTGTGTTTTTCAATTTTATGTTAAGCTTTTCTTCATATAGCTCTTCTATTTTGTTAGGTTATTGCTAAGAATTTTATCTTTTTTGTTATTGAGGTTTTTGTTTTGTCTTTCTTTATTTTAATTTTTTGAGATAGAGTTTCAGTCTATCACTAAGGCTGGAGTACAGTGGTCATAGCTTACTGCAACCTCAAATTCCTGGGCTTCAGCAGTCCTCCTGCCACAGCTTCTGTAGTAGCTGAGATATATAGGCTCACGCCATCATACCCAACTAATTTTTCTTACTTTCTGTAGAGATGAGGTCTGGCTTTGCCATGGCTGGTCTTGAACTCCTGGGCTTCAACCTCCTAAAACACTGGGATTATAAGCAGCATGAGCTACTGTATCCAGCCATCATAGATTTCTTTTCTATCTAAAGAGCTTACTGTATTCCCTCATTGTGCATAGTAATTTTTCCTTTGATTCTTTTGGGTTTTAAAGAGAAACAAACATCATCTGCAAATATAATTTTAATTCTTCTCTTTTGCTTCTTATAGTTCTAATTTTGCTTTTATTGGCTAATATAACTCAAACAAGCTTAAAAGCTTAAAAGTCCTAATAGTACATGCTTTTTCTTATTTCTTATTTTAATCCAGTGTTTATTATGTGGTATACTAGCTTTTGGATTGCAATAGTTTATATTTTATGGTGTTAAGAAAATGTCTATTCTGCATTATTTCATTAACTTTTTTCCAAAATGAATGTTACTGGATATATCTTTTGCGAATTACAGATGGGTTGCCCCCTGAGATCTGTTGAATTACATTAGATTTTGCAATGTTGAATCATCTTTGCATTCATGAAACAAACTCTACTTGATTGTGACATATATATTAGTCTTTTTATGTGCTTCTTGTACTATTTCATATGATATTTTTGCATTAGCGTTAGGTGAGACTGGTTAGTTGGTATCAATGTTACACTTGATTTATAAAAGGCATTTGTTGGCTTTCTCTTTTTTAGTGGGCTCTTTTCCATAAATATTTGTTAGAATTCCTATAAGATGTATCTGATTCTAGAGCTTTCTGGAAGGTGCATGCTTTTTTATTTAAAGAAAGGAAATTAATTTTAATTCAATGTGATAAATGGATTTTTAATTTTTAAAAAATTTTCTTAAAACAGGTGTGTTCAAACGAATTAATAAATATTTTTGAGGAAAGAGGTGAGTAAAATAAATTTTAATACGACTGCATTTTGCTAAGTACCCCTCATTATTTTTGATGCATTTTGTTCAAATAAGAGATTGAAGCAGAGTTATGATCACTTTTCTCTAAGAGTAATGCTGTTATTATCAGTAATTCTTTCATCTTGCTAAGGCCTTGGGTTTGGTAGTTTGATAAGTTAAAGAAGCTTCTTTCATCCTCTTGTCAATAGAAAACCATATGGCTTTTAGCAGCTACCTTTTAGAAATAGAAAGCTAAGTATAATGGCATTTTAAAAAATAAGTTCTTAACTTTACCCTGAAAATTAGTTTCGTACTAGAGATCTTTTCAAGCTTAAGTCACTTAAGCAAAAGATTATAGACTTTTCTGTTTTTTAAAAGAATTTAAAATCTTTTATGGGGTATTAAACCATTTAGGCTCTATTTTTCCTTATAACTAAGGCAGCCAAAGATTTCTCCCATCTATCTCCTCTCCAATAAGTTTTTTTTTTTTTTTTTTTGAGACAGTTCAACTTTGTAGAAGTAGAGTGCTGTGGTGTCATACCTCACAGCAACCTCCAACTCTTGAGCTCAAGCAATTCTCTTGCCTCAGCCTCTGGACTAGCTGGGACTATAGGTGCCCACCACAACGCCTGGCTCTTTTTAGACACGGAGTCTCGCTCTTGCTCAGGCTGGTCTCGAACCTGTGAGCTCAGGGCAATCCACCCACCTTGGCCTCCCAGAGTGCTAGGATTACAGGTGTGAGCCACTGCTCCAGTCACCAATAAAAGTATTAAACAAATTACAACATATTGAAATTTTAGTGATATGTTAAACACATAGACCAGCTTCAATTGGATTATTTCCTTTAGCAGATATACTTACTAATGTCATTCTACCTTCATGTAACTATGACAGCTGTCCTAAGGGAAAATAGGGTTTTTATTTAATAAATTTATTTTGCCTTAATTGCTACTTTGGCTTTTGTCTATTATTTAGTTAAGGAAAGAGAACTCTTTAGCTAAACCTGAGTGGTACTCAGGGATTAACCATCTATATTTGGGGTTGGTTAAACCTCTACATTTTAACAAACCCTAGATTCTTTTATTTATTTATTTATTTATTTATTTATTTTTTCGAGACAGAGCCTCAAGCTATCCCCCGGGTAGAGTGCTGTGGCTTCACAGCTCACAGCAACCTCCAACTCTTGGGCTCAGGCGAGTCTCCTGCCTCAGCCTCCCAAGTAGCTGGGACCACAGGTGCCCGCCACAACGCCCGGCTATTTTTTGTGTGTAGCCGTCATTGTTGTTTGGCGGGTCCGGGCTGGATTCAAACCCTCCGCCGTAGTTGTATGTGGCTGGTGCCTTAGCCACTTGAGCCACAGGCGCCAAGCCTAAGCCCTAGATTCTTAGGAAGTAATGACCCTTATGTTTTGATAGTTCAAAAAATATTTCTGGAAAAAGGTTTTCTAGGTCAAAATACATTGATATAACTGTTTTGTATTTGAGAGCAAAAGTTGTTACTGTAGCTCCTAACCACTTAAAATGTTCTTAATTTAATTAGGTCCAATAACCTAATAATTATAATCTAGCTTACTCTTATTAGGATAGGCTTATTATAGAATACCATAGGTTTTTAACAAATATTGCCAGCATATAGAATATATTACATTTAGTATATGTGCTTACTATTTGCTTTCTTTTTTGAAGGGGAGCCTTACAAGAGACAAAGTATTTTTCCTACCTCAGGGAGCACACATACAACTCCAGAACCTCAAAATAAACAAGATGAATCAAGCTTTCAGAGTGTTGGGTCAAGATCTCTTGATAAAATAATAGATACACATACAGAAAAGAATATGCCTCACTTACCTCAGGATGAGATAATTATGTCTGATAAGGAAGAAAGAACTGATGCTGCTTCTAAGACTGAACAAAAGGATAATAGAATACCATCTTCCAAAGCTCCACTCTCCAGGTATCATGAAAGAATCTTTAATAAATCTCTCTGAATAAATATAGCTTACATGGAACACATGCGTGAAGATTAAATACAGATGGTGTTAAGTAAACATTCCTCTAATATAAAGGAAAGAAGTTTCAGCAAAGGAAATATAGTAATTAATGTTCAATCAAGATTATTATTATCACTATACTATACAGTGAAAGGTTTAAGTGCTGATACTTAGACTATTATAGATAGAAAATCCTTATTTTATTATTATTTTTTAAAGACAGTATCTCACTCTGTTGCCCAGGCTAGAGTGCTATGGTGTCACAGCCTAGCTCACAGCAACCCCAAACTCCTGGGTTCAGGGTATTCTCTTGCCTTAGCCTTCCAAGTAGCTAGGACTATAGTTTGGCGGGCCCGGGCTGGATTCGAACCTGTCACCCTAGGTGTATGTGGCTGGCGCCTTAGCCACCCGAGCCACAGGTGCCGAGCCGCTAAGAGGATCTCTTGAGCCCAAGAGTTTGAGGTTGCTGTGAGCTATGAAGCAAGAAAGTGAGACTCTGTCTCACAACAAAACAAAATATTAACATGGTATTGATGAGTTTGGTTGGGGGAGGACATATAGTAGCCTCCACTAAGGGAAAGGAAGGAAAGGAAATGTGTAGCTTAAAAAGGCATATTATTAAATTTTGTTTTCATTATCTAAATTATAGAAAGTAAAGCTCAGCAATACCTTTTTGGTCTTATTTTAGGGAAGTGCTGAAAATGGAATGAAGGCCAGGCACAATGGTGCATATCTGTAGTCCCAGCTACTTGTAGGCGGCTGAGGCTGGAGGATCACTTGAACCCAGGAGTTCAAGGCTTATATTTGTGCCTGTTAATAGCTACTGGGCTCCAGCCTGAGCAACATAGTGAGACCTTGTTTTATAAGGAAAAAAAAAAACAGAAGGAAAGAAAAGAAAGAAAATATAGAATGAAGGAAGCATCATAGGATCATGAAGGTTTAGATTAAAATAGGTTGAGAAGCAGTGTTTTTGAACAGAGGTAAGCAGACTTTTTTGTAAAAGTGGGAATATAGTACATATTTTAGGCTTTGCAGGTTTCTGTTCTAACTATTTAATTCTGTGTTTATATGTAAACAAGCGAGCATGGCTGTGTTCCAGTAAAACACATTCACAGAATCAGATGGTGGACTACATTTGGCCTGACCCCTGCTTCTCAGCCTTGCTCCTTAAAGCATAGTGCTGGGACCAGCAGCATAGACATCATTTGAGGATTTACTAGAAATACAGGATTCAGGCCACACCTGCTGTCAAAATTCTGTCAGGGTCTTCATTTTAATAAGGTTCTTGGGTGGTTGTATGCACTTCTAAGCTTGGGAAGCACCAGTTTAGAGTAAGCCTTGACCTTTGTCACAAATAAGTGTCATAGTATAGTAGTTATCAATTTTCAGTAGATTGTTCCATTGTAGCATTAGTGGAAAGAAGGTATTAAGAGCATGTCTTCCTGGACATTCTTTAATGTCTTTACATTCACATTTCTAGACCTGGCAGAAGACCCCTGGGATTTTTGTCTTTAATTTGTTCAAAGAGCAGTTTGGAATCTGATGAACCTACTCAGGTCCATAGTAAGAAGCGCCTAAGACCTCTCATACCCGTGTCAAGACAGAAGTTGAAAAGATCCAATCCATTCAGCGAAAGCCAGAAAAAAAATCAAGAGTCCTCTGATCTGCTTCCATCTCCAAGTGTTATTAACAATCATTCTGAGAATATTGGCTGTTTGGCAACTCAGGTATGTGATAATTACTGTATTTTATTGTTTGTATAGAATGATTTGGATTTCAGACTCAACGAGGGAAAACATATAATTGTTTTTTGAATGTCAGAAGTTATTTTAGAGCGTTTCTACCTCGTATTACCCCTCCAACTATGAAGTAGGAGTTACAACTAACTTAGTACAGAGATATTGACCTAGCCACAAATGAACACTTGATTGCCAAAGACCTTTCTGTCCCCACTCCTCCGAATCCATTCTAAAAGTGTTTTTCCATGGCATTATGGTAATAAGTTTTTTTAAAAAATGCTTTTACATTTTTAAATATTTTGACCCACCTAGAATTAATTTTGTTGAGGTATAGGTCTTTTTTTTTTTTTAACCTGAGGATGATTATACAGTTGTCTAACATCATATATTGAATAATCTAGAGTTTTTGGTGTTTTTAAAATACCACTTTTATCAAGTACTAAATTTTCACACACATTGGGGTTATTTCTAGTCTTCTGTTTCATTGATGTGTATGTCTGTTCCTGTGCTTATACCCTGCTGTCTTTATCGATTTGTTAAGTATGCTTAATTTTTGAGAAGGTTATCTTTGATTTCTGATGTTTCCTTTAGGTGCTGTTATGTTTCATGGGTCTGTCTATTCTTATGCCAGTAATTAGAATACTTCTGTTACAGATTTAATAATGTTATATTTTTCATTATTAAAATTTTGTTTTGAAAATTCAGAGTAAAGTAATGGATACTGCAGTTTATCTACTTATGTTGAGAGTTTAGTGCTTATAATTTTATAACTAAGGCTTATAAAAGTTATCTTGATAAAACTTATACTTAGGATTATTTACTTAAAATAACAGCATAGAAATGAAATTGTTGGGTCAGTAAGTATGAAATATATTTAAAACTTGATATTTATTGTCATATTGCTTTTCAAACCGATTATATCAATTTAGATTACCGTTAGCTATATATATATGTGTGTGTGTATACCCACATATATATATGTGTTTTCTCATGTGTTTTTTTTTTTAACTTAAATTTTACCTTTTTAGGTTTCTTCTGGTCAGCCTTCACTGAAGGAAGCATGTAAAAGTGGCCAAAAGCGGAGACGTGAAGAGGAGCCAACCACAGTCTCTGAATATTTCTTCAGTGATATCTTCATTGAAGTGGATGAAAAAGAGTAAACAGTCTCTTGTTTGTTCTTTTGTTTTTTGTTTAAGCCTGGGATTTCCCGGGTCAATTACATCAACAAAGCAGTATTTAGAGAAAAGCATCACTGTCTAATTTACTTTTGAGGTTTGATTTTGAGTATATAATGAGCTTGGTTGGAAGCTTTTATAATCAGTGAGAAACATTTCTGAGGTTCCTTTCATTCTGATGATTCAGCATTTTGGAAATACCAAGCAATTAAGACTGCTTTCTCACACAGAAATAGCAACTCTTGTTTACATTTTTGATTCTTCCTGCGCTGACCACACATGGACATTTGAGAATGTTGTGGATAAATTTCTCTGTATCAATCATAGTGCTGATGTATTTGGAGGTCGTTTGTATTGTATGTAACCTTGAGAAACTTCCTTACTTTTTTTTTCCCCCAAAAAAATATTGTGGTTTTTTGGATGTGGGATGATGAAGACCTTTTCAGTTGCCTCTGAGTACAGTTATGTGCCACATAACGTAACAATGTTTTAGTCAACAACAGACTGCATGTATGAAGGTGGTCCCATAAGATTATAATGGAGCTGAAAAAGTCCTATTGCCTGTTGATGTTGAAGCCATTGTAGTGCAACCCATTGCCTTTTCTGTGTTTAGATACATAAATACTTACCATTGTGGTATAATTGCTTACAGAATACAATACAGTAACGTGTTGAACAGATTTGTAGTTGAGGAGCAATAGGCTGTACCATATAACCTGGGGGTGTAATAGGCTGGGGGTGTAGTAATCTGTGGTCCAGATTTATGTAAGTTCAAACAACAGGGAAATGGCCTAACAACTCTGTTCATGGATTGTTAAACAACACATGACTGTATATGAAAACAAATTGTCAAACTCCACTTTAGTATGGTAAATGTTAAAAAACTTTTCTATTAGCAGCTGTTTGGCTGAATGAAAAATATGTATTTTTCTAATTTGTAGTATTATAACATTAACTCTAATTGAAGAACTAGCATTTAAGCTTATTATTTATAAAGATGAGACATCAAAGAACTTACTTATATTTAAAAGTTTTATTTAGAAGGGTATTCAGTTTTAGTTCTTTTTACCCCTCAGATTGTGGGTAAAGCAGGCATTAACAAGTTTGTTTGTCTCCTTTCCCTCTTTAATTTTAAAAATATTTAAAATGATACAACTAAAAATGTTTAGATAGTATATATGTTTTGAATATATATTTTTCTCATTGTTTATTGTATTGACTTTGTACTGTGAATTTTTTTGTTCTTATTTCTTGGATAATCTCAGGATGTTTCACGGGGCGAGGGGAATACTCTTAACTTTATTTATGAGGCAAATTTCCATACAAAACTGATGTCCTTTCTGTATATATATGCACACCACACACATTCCTTTTTAAGAAACTAATTTCTTGGCCAGGCGGGGTGGCTCACGCCTTCACTCCTAGCACTCTGGGAGGCTGAGGCAGGTGACCAGCCTGACCAAGACCCTGTCTCTACTAAAAATAGGAAAACTAGCGGGGCATGGTGATGCACACCTGTAGTCCCAGCTACTCAGGAGGCTCAGGCAAGAGGATTGCTTGGGCTTAAGAGTTTGAAGTTGTTGTGAGCTATAATACCATGGCACTCAACCCAGGGCAATAGAATGAGACTCTGTCTCAAAAAACAAAACAAAAAAACAAAAAAAAGGCCAACCAATTGCTTCATAGTTTTTTCCCCATTCTGCTTAAGGAATACTTGGTCCTTTAAGCACAGAGCACAGCTGTGATACTCAACAGAAAATAAGACTTTATAAAGTCAGTGATTATTAACAAAATGAATTACGGTTTGTTTTTAATTTCAAGATTTTATGATTTATATATGTAATTCTATTATCTACCCAAGCAAGATCTTTTGTCGTTCAAATTAAACTTCTGAAAGAACATATTTATTCTGATTTTATTTGCCTAGCCTTCTAGGTGGGCAGTACATTAGTTCAGAAGTTGGAAACTTTTTCTACAAGTTTGGGTTTGCAGGCAGGAGGGTCTCTGTGGCAGCCACTCAGCTTTGCCATTGTGTGAAAGCAGCCACAGGCGTACTTAAACAGAGAACTGTGGCTGGATTGGCCCCCACATCAGATAGTAATTTTCTTACCTTAAGGTGCTGATGTCTGTGTGTGAGTTATTTGTCGTTGAAGTTGTGAGTTGTGCCTAAAAGTTGAAATTGTGTTGATGATATTATATATGATTCGTATTTCAATTGAGAAGATATTTTAAAGTCTAGGTAACTGTGTTTGTATATTGAAAAAATGGTAGCCAGTTTTCAAGTTCCATATGTAAAAGGGAATGTCTCAGCAAGTTAAACAGTAATGGTAATTTATTGAAACTAGTGCTGTTAGAGCACTTATCCATTGCCCATTAGTGATATTTACAGCTTAACTTTTTTTGTCATAAAGGAGGATCTATCTGCAGTACTATCTTGGGTAGATTAAAAACAGAAAAAAGTTTTCAAAAAAAGGAGCTTTTATAATTCTGAGCAGAAATTCTCTAAAGTAGGCATTTATTTATTTCATATGATTAATATATCACAGAAATCATGGTAGTAAATCACGTTGCTGTTACTAATGCCCTGTTTTTGTAAATTTTAAAAAATATCATTCTGAAAAGATTTCTTTCTCTAATTAGTGTTAGTAATTTGGGTGTTATTTGCCATGACTAAACTATTATATATTCCTGGTGTAATATTTATTTTTTAACTTTGTTAATATCTGTCTCTTTTTCATCTATAATAAATTTATGGAAGATGTAATTTCTTGCTGTATAAAGAATACAGGCATGTTCATTGTATTAGAGCAGCGGTTCTCAATCTGTGGGTCACGAGCCCTTTGTAACAATGAAAATACATCGCAGTGTTAGGAAGGTTGAGAACCACTGTATTAGAGAATCAAGTCAACTGGCTAAATTATCTTGCTGTTAATATTCTTAAAACTAATCTTGGATAAAGAGAAATTTAATCAGTGTATTTACCTTGCGAGGTAGAAAGACCTATCTTAAATCTAGTTCATGTAAAGAGAAGATGTTAGAATGGACTTGTTGTTTTATAAATTTTAAAGGAGATATGATTAAAGGTTTTTATCTTTTCTTGACCTTTCCTCCTGAATGCTTACGTCTTAGCAAGTGACCAACTTGATGGTTTAAAAGGCTAGTCGTTGGTAAATGATTGAGGCACAGATAAAAATATTAATATCCACTGTTTATCATCATGTTATTTGAAATAGAAGTGACCATGTATACTATCTTGCTTGAGGAAGTCTTTGACAAAAAAAGCAATATCTATCATTTGTAAATTTTCTTGTTCTAAAGAAAGTAATTGTTATATATATAAATTATGTAAATAAAAGTTATTTTATACCATGTCTGTTGTGTCCTTTTACAACTAAAGATATGTGCCTTTATGTTCAGTTAACCAAAACTAGTAATTACTGTTTTTCAACTATAGTCTCATACCTTCCTTCCAAAAAAGTATAGTATAACTGGAAGAATTAAACTTTACTCTTGTTTACTTGCTATGAAGGATGTTATTCTGAGTTTGTAAGAATAAAGAAAGAATAGACTTTCCCCAACATTTGGGAATGGGAAGCATTGATTATTTTTTTGTGTGTATATTTTTTTTTTTTTTT